TCCTCAGCTACAGTGGATCTGCAGCACAAACACACAGTCACCAATTAACAGAAGTGTGCTTACATCTGCAGATATGTCTGCAGATGCTCCAAGCTAGCTCTGTGATCATTCCGGGTGATAAAGTAAAAAGTGTCATAGTTCATTTAGGGTCCAATTTACCAAGCTTTGTCCGTGAATACAGAGACCCTCAGATGACCATCTACAGTGTAAATCCCACTGCCGTCACATTGTTCTAAAGTTGCATTATGTATTAAGTCTGCTTTACAAAAGAAACAAAAACTTCCTTTAAAAGGCTTTAACCACAAAGGCAAAAAAGGGAAAGAACCTTAAATATGTACGCAGAATTACTACAGCAAAGATTTTTTTTTTTTTGGAAACTTTAGTTCCCACTAACTAGCAAAATTAGTTATTGTTTAGTATCATCTGGGTTTGTGAGACCGTATCAGTGGGTAAATCTGGGATTATGACTAACAGTCTGGTTCCTCGCAGGGAGCTTTGTGCTGGGAAGTTGTGACGCAGAAGAGCTCTGCCGCTGAGTCTGGGGAGAATCCGCTGGCCAGAGGGTTTGTAGGAGTGTGTGTTCATTCCACTTGGGGTCTTCAGGGTGGTGAGTGTGGTGCTTCCGTCATCTGAGTCACACCTTTAACAGAATCAACACAAGGTGCCAAAAAAAAAAAAAAAAAAAAAAAAAAAAAACTGTGTTGGCAAAATTGAACTTTTGGTAACTATAGACAGAATAGCTCAAAGCAAATACATAAATCAGACTAAACCAAATACAATAATGCATTTTTTCATTACCAGTTATGTATATCAAGGTAACTCAGTGCAACTAGATTTTGCATGTGGTATACCAGGCAGTACAATGAAATTAGGATAGCATTTCCTGATGTTTTATGAATAAAGAACATGTATGTCATAGAACACTGTACATATTAGGAAGCACTATGCACTATATGCTTATAAAATCAGCATAGTTACAAAAGCATTACAGTCAGAGGTATAATTCAAAAGATCAAAAAAAGAGCACCGCTTAACCATTGTTATATATCGGTTTTGCAAGTGCTACAATGATTTTGTGTGAGATTTTGTGACTATATGAGACTTACAATGACCTTTCGCCATATCCCTGCTGTCTTTGTTGCAAAGGCTTTGCCTGGATTGTCATAACACCATTTAAATTAGTCTTAAAGACATTTGAGTCCTAATCAAACACAAAACGAGAGAGTTCATTTATAAGAGCAGAACTGTATTGCTCACATAACAGCTTTCTGTATTTCTGTCTTGTGTTTTTGTTGTAGGTTGGTACCTGCCCATTATAGGTGTTTGGCCACAGAAACATGCTCCTGCTATTAGGGCCTCTGCTAGGAGAGATGTGACTTCCCCGTGATGGGAGATGTGATGAAGTTTCACAAGAGATTTGGCTTGAGCTCTCCAGCGTCCATCTCTGTGTTGCGCCGTCTGATGCCAAAGTGGCATAATGAAGACAAAGGAAAACTCTCATGGTGCCTTTAAGTACTAGCAAAATAGTAACTTTGAATTTAATAAAAAATAATATAAAAATAGAAAATAGAAATAGAAATAATATATATATATATATATATATATACACACACACACATACATACACACACACACAGTCAGGTCCATAAATATTGGGACATCGACACAATTCTAACATTTTTGGCTCTATACACCACCACAATGGATTTCAAATGAAACGAACAAGATGTGCTTTAACTGCAGACTGTCAGCTTTAATTTGAGGGTATTTACATCCAAATCAGGTGAACGGTGTAGGAATTACAACAGTTTGCATATGTGCC